ATGTTCCTAATACCTTCGCCAAGGAGGTCGTGTATTCAGAGGCGTTCGTGTGTGTGTGTATGTACGTGTGTGTGTGTGCGTGTCTGTATGTGTGTCTGTAAACACTATAACTCGAGATTGTCTTGACATTCGGTGGTTAGGTTTGATGAGACCTCGAAATGATCAGATTTTGGCCCACCAATGAGGGAGCCCCCGGGATCCCTGCAGGGCAGCGTGAAGGCAGCGACAGCCGGTGCGCGGCAGACCTCCGAGCCCGACCGGGGCTGGCAGGCCGGGGCTACATTGGGGCTACAATTGGGACCGAAGCTCGGATAGCGGCATAAACGGCAGCAATGTGGACAGAAGGTCCATGCCCAAAATATGGGCATAGAGACAGGATCCTAGGAGCAGGTGTCTCTGAATAGAGATCGATGCGGTTTTTGATTGGCTGTTGAGGTAATGACTTTATCTGCTAAAAGAACACGCATGGCATGGTGACACATACTAGCCTTGTTTTTTTACAAGTATTAGCCAGGAAAATGGAGTGTCTTGGGTTGTAAATCGGTGGAAATATGTCACATATCTAACATATACCATGCTATATTTTTTAACCAAATTTTTAAATCTTTTAACCAAATTAGCTGCAGATACAAGGATGACCAGATAAATGCTAAATATTTTCAAATAGGGGAGTTGTCATTTCTTTAGAATTCAACTTTGGACTTGGTGATTGTGAACCGTATCATGTGGCGTGGGCGTACTAGACGTATTCATTAGTAAAGAAAGGAGGCATTTAAAAAAAATATTAGACAGGACTGTGTGTGGGAAGGCGATTTTTGGTACGGGGGATGTGGTGAAGCTAGCCATGTGCTGCATTTGCTCCCGAGCAAAAAAAAATCTGTTTTTCTAGTTTGTAATTATATTTCAGTCCATACCATGGCATGTTAGACCCTACACGTGCGGAGTAATTGCGGTATGAGACCAGAACAGCTGCACTACCAAAAATGCCAATCTTGTTTTTCTTCAGAGAAGAAAACTTTTCTTCCACTGAGAAAAGTATTCTTCACCCAAGAAAAAAATCTTGTCCATGAGACAAGAATTTCAAGAAACTGCATTTTAGCATATTTTTCTTGTGGTAAGATTTCTTTTCTTATGTATCTTGAACTAAACACCCTTAGAATATTATTCTTGCAGTAAGAATTTCTAAGTTTTCTAGAAAACCATTCTGTACACAAGAAAAGATTTCTTGAACTAAGATCTAACTCTTCTTGTAGCAAGAAAAATATTCTCCCCACAAGAAAAGATTTCTTGAACTAAGAGCTAACTGTTCTTGTAGCAAGAAAAGCATTCTGCCCACAAGAAGAGATTTCTTGAACTAAGACCTAACCCTTCTTATGGCAAGAAAACCATTCTGTACACAAGAAAAGATTTCTTGAACTAAGAGCTAACTGTTCTTGTAGCAAGAAAACCATTCTCCCCACAAGAAAAGGTTTCTTGAACTATTATCTAACTCTTCTTGCGGCAAGAAAACCATTCTCCATGCAAGGAAATATTTCTTGAACTAAGATCTAACTGTTCTTGTAGTAAGAAAACCATTCTCCCCACAAGAAAAGACTTCTTTAACTAACATCTAACTGTTCTTGTGGCAAGAAAACCATTCTGTACACAAGAAAAGATTTCTTGAACTATGAGCTAACTGTGCTTGTAGCAAGAAAACCATTCTGCCCACAAGAAGAGATTTCTTGAACTAAGAGCTAACTGTTCTTGTAGCAAGAAAATCATTCTGTACACAAGAGAAGAT